CCTCCATTTGCCTCTTGTGACCCCCTGTGCCTCCTGTGACCTCTTCCCATACCACGCCTCTTCCACCCTCTCTCCCTAATTAGTGACTCCACCCCCTCTCCATGCCAAGTCTTAGTTGTTCCTCTCAGCTGTGCCTCTCTGCCCCTGTTGAGATTATGACAGAGTTGCCCAAAGGAACCCTTTTTTTTTTTTTTTGCTTTTAAGCTAATAGTAGCTAACTCGCTCTCTGGGTAAAGAGCTTTAACAGGATCACACCACACCTCCATCTGAGGTCAGTGCCTGAGGGCAACAACTGCCTGAGGATACATGTCTTTTGAATTTGATAGATATGTAGCATGATGCAAGATATCTTCAACTTTTTAAGGCTCAACCCCAAATGAGAAATGTCTCCCACAGTCAGAGCCCCAGGGCCATACCTGGAACAGTATGACTAATATTTCAAGGCATGAAAGCTTACACTGTATACAACTAATACAAATCTCATCAAGTCAAATTCAACTGGTAGAATAATATGGTCTTTTTTAAATCTTCTGTGGAATAACTGCTGTTTGACAATGGCCTCTGAACCTTACCGACACATATATACACCTTGGCCTCAAAGCACAGGATGAACTGTCATTCACATCAGTTGAGCTACGTCCTATTAATCTCCCTGATATTTAACATGAAGCAGCTCACTGTTGGGGGAGGAGGAGATGATGGGGGAGGGGCAAGAGGCACAGAATGGGCTCTCTTGTCAGCAGCTTGTGAGTGATCATACAACATGAATACACAGAGAAGAAAGCATTGTTTGAGTTTGTGCGCCCCTCTTGTTTCCCTTCTCTCTGCCCCCTGTCTTTCCCTCCATCCCTCACTCTCCTCTAGCACTTGACATGCATGCGGGGTGAGCACATGGGGGGTAGAGGAAAAACAATTATGCTTGGCAGTCATAAATCCACAGGATGTAATTCACGAGCTATTCACTATTAATTCATCGAGTGTTTATAAATGTGGTTAACAGAAGAGAAAAGCCCGAATGCTAAAGTAAATTAGCCTCTAATTAGATTGCTATTCATGAAATTCCCATTCAAAAGTGTTGACGCAATTAATAGCATGTGAAATTGCAAATTAAACCAATACAGAATTATACGACGCACTCGTGTTTATGTGCGTCTCTCGCCACTTTGAAAAATATAATGCCGTTATCACCGTGGTGACACCATATAAATATGTTTCTCCTCAGATGTGGTCGCCGGGACCCAGCATATTGAGGGTGAAATTAAACAGGCGCAAAAAGCAGCGTGGGTAAGGAGGAAAGTATGAGACGAGCCAGTTACAGGCATTACATTTGTTCTCTAACCTTTCAGCAGTGAAAAGTGCGTAAGCAGCAAAAATGGAGGTTGCAGATTTTCTGATTATCAAGGTATGGGAATGTGACGGATGTACTGTGGTATTTACTGTGGCTTTCTGTGCCTGCGTGTAGCCACCTGTTTCATGAATTGCATTTGTGCAACTTCCTGCTTGGGCTATGTTTTCTCATAACTTCAATAATATTTGTGTATTGTGTGTGCACGCGCAAGAGCCACCACATCTACTATATTATTGCATTTGCTGTTTTGCAGTTCCACAATGTTAGCATTTGCTTCAGTCACTGAGAATAGATTGTGGCTGTCTGTGGGCATCTAGGAGCACACAACTGCAGCTAGGCCGATACATACACTCGTCACACACTCCTATGTGTGTGTGTGTCTTGGTATGTGCATATTTTTGTGAAGGTTGGGAGGTATGTGTAGCAGTCAAACTGACTGATTGTGATTGCAGTGGTGGCAGAGATTGTGATGAAACTGCATGTGTGCTGGGGGTGAATAATCAGCATCCCTCTGAGGTAATGGGGATTGGAGGGAGGGTAGGAGGGAAGAGTGGGAGGGCCCTGCATCAGAGGTCCAGCCAGTGTGTGTGTGTGTGTGTGTGTTGAGGGAGTGGGGGGGTGGGTAGGGGCAGTGGGACACTGCTCCTGGAACCCTGCGTTCGGTGAAGCTCCATGCCTAATGGGGGGCAGAGAAGTTAATTCCACTGCGCCGAAGCTTTATCTCATTTTCATACATATGAACGCGCCGGGCCGAGATCGATTACCGCAAACAAATTGAAATGCCTGAGACCAGGAGAGGCCTGCAGAGAGGAAAGCAGAAAAAGACGCTGAGGATGGGGGGAGGTGGTGTGTATGTGTATGTGTCTATGAATTTCTGAGAGTGTATAAGGAAGGCAGAATTCACTGATATGGTTGGGGAGGCACAAATCACTACCGCATACTAATTTTCTCCCATCCCGCATATACACACACTTCTATTATTTAGTGACACGCATTAAAAACTCAACTTATTGCAGTTGGTGCCACGTTTCTTTTAAGAGATATTGCAGATGGGAGGTTATGAGCAAACTCACAGAGGTCCTGATGGCTCATTGAACGGTTAGTCTTCGAACAGGCCCTTTTCCTCCTATTTTCTTTATCTTTCTGTCTGCATGAGTACGCACTACATACAGACAATAAGTTTCTCATTCTATGTCCCTATCTTTCTCTATCTCTCATTAAACATACCATAAAATAAATGTCTATGTCATTAGTACTCTTCCATATTAGCATTGACTCCCGACAGTCATTTTTGGCACTTGTCTAAAGTGCTCACTGCTTCATTACTTTCTTTCCTCCCTTTCCTTCCTTCATTTTTGCTTTTATCTGGCCATAACGCCCTGTTACACTTCCTTTCCTATCCTTTCTCCTCCCTCCTTCTTAGCTATGCCCCTGTCGATGGGCCTCTCTCACAGGAAGAGCCGTCAATATTTCCTCTCTGACTCTCAGCATTTCCTTTGCCGCTCCTGCCAGAAACACTTGGTACAGCCCACATACACTGCAGTCGGAAAGTATTAGGGCCGTGATACACCTTCCATTGTTTTGGTTCTATTCTGGCACACTGGATTTGCAATTTAACAATAAATATGTGAATATGAGCTTTGATATACTGCCTACATTTTAGAACAACACAGAGGCACGTAGATCATAAATGGTTTTCTGTAACCAAACTATTATCAAAGTCAGTCTCTTGACCTCCACCCAAACAACAGGCCCCTGAAACAAACAATACAGCGCAGCTGCAGCACAAGCCTTTCAGAGCATCTCCAGGGAAGATACCAACTGTGTGCTAAACTAAACTAGCTAACTAAAATTGGAGGGTAATGTTTAAAAGTGGCCACAACCCCAAACTGTTCATCTGTCAATATAAAAAGTCTCATTTATAGCGGAAGGTCAGCGCTTTAAACTCGTAGTTGTTTCATTTCAAATTCAATGTGCTGCAGTACAGGACCAAAACACTGCACTGTAGAACTGAATGTTTCAATACAACATATATGCAGACAAACAGAGACAGACACAGCATTGCACGTAGAGCCACCAAGTCAGTATGTGACGTTTGTTGATGCCAACATAATCCTTTGGGCTATGGGGATTGTCGCCATCAAACACAAACCTCTCCTGGCTCCAGGTCCAGTCCATCACGCTAAATTCAACACATACCAAAAAGCTCTCCAGTCATTTCTCAGTCAACAGTCTAGGTAGACTATTAAAGAGCAGCACTCATTACATTGGAGAATTACCACCACTAACATATACCATTGAGCAAGGCATTTTATAGCCAATCAATCCTCAAATAAAGTTTTTCAGTGGCTACCAAGTGTGAATATAAACTATGTGAGCATTCACTCTCAGCAAATAAGCTTAAAGAAAAAAGCCGCTGCACTCTATTAAATGTTTGATCTCTCCTAATGTCCTCTGTTGCACTCTAAAACTACTTGTGACAAGGACCCTTTGTCTGGGTACTATTCATACAGTTATTGTACAGATTTTGGACAGAATCATAATAAAAACTGATATGTTTTTTCCAGTTGAAAACCATAAACTTGGTTAATAGGTTAATAGACCAAGCTCACAGTCAGGGCACAAGGAGGGTAATTAAATAGACAGGTCATGGTTCAAGGCAAGCTGTGGTGACCTTTGTTGAAGCCCAATAGTTACACCCAGATGGCCAAGCTGCTGCTCAAACATGGGGAGGATAAGCGCCAACAGACTCACCAGGAGGACTTAAAGGTAGCCACCCAGATCATGCAATAACAAAACCACCACCAGAGTGGTGCTAGGTGAAGAGACAATAAAGCAGGATGCTATGCACAATAATCAACACTGGCCAAGATGCATGAAAATTCTGGTCTAAAAGAAACATATACTCAAAGACCATTACTATAGCTATGAGAACATATTACTTACTTACGTAACTTTGGATTTTAAGTCTATTCATTACAGATGTTTATATATCTCCTGCCTCAACAATTCACAAATATTTAAAGCACAAGCCTGTCACTAGGACAACTGAGAGCAGCAGATGTAAAACTGGGTTTTTTGTAAACATTTCAAATGAAACTAAAGCTAATTTTACAGCACTACACAGAGAAAATCTATGTTTAGCATTTTAAGAGGACACCAAGGGCAAGTGAGGACACCGTTCTTTCAGTCCTTCCTGCATTTCAGCTAAACTCCATGCCCTTCTTTTATTCCACTCCTCCTCTCCCTTCCTCCCTTACCCCATCCCCCCATCCCCCTTCCCACACCACACTCAGTGGGCTGTCTGGGTGCCCTCACGCTTCACTGCCTGGTGCTGCGGGCACACTAGGCGTCACTCTGCATCAGACTCCAGTGTATTTGCTCTGCTGTGCGTGTGTGTGTGTGTGCGTGTCTAAGAAACATCAGTCAAACGGCACAATTGTGCATGCATGTGCAAACTGTGTGTGTCCATCTGTGTTCAAGAATGCTAAATGCTATGTGTGTATAATGCATGTATAATATATGTGTGTATGCTTTTATGGGTCATTGTGTGTGAATCAGAGCTGATTAATGTATATCAGTGGATGGATGGATGCAATTTTAGAAACTGAGACAGATGAGAGGGTTCAGTTAACTTGACCATGATACTCACCTTTGGGTTTCTGATCAGCAGCCTGCAAGGAAAGAGAGAGAAATTGACCTAAGAACTTGACACTGTGAGGGACAATCATTCAAAACTGTAAATAAATGTAATGTGTTATGACAAAACCTCAAGCTTTAATCAACATGAAAGGGACTAGTGTTACCGAGTAAAGTGATCCAATCATTTCAAACCCATTCAAATAAAGTCAGTTGTTGTTGGTTTAGTGAAAGTTTTCTGCCAACAAATCAGCCAAATCAAATTGAACGGGAACAAAAATTATCATTAGAAAAGATTGGAGGTTCACTGTACCTGTGCTTGCTAGCAGACTCAAAATAGATATACACAGCTTCTTTAATAGGTGTGTTCTGTGAACATGTGCATAATTTTCACCTTCACCTTTTTCTGAGCGATGTCCGTCTTGGTCTTTTCTTCTTGTTTTTTCTTTTTCTTTTCTTCCATCAAATGGTCCTCTTTCTTCGGTTGCTTGCTTTTCTCAGCTGTCAAACAAGAAAAGGAAAGAGTAATGAGTAAAAAATGAAGGAGAAGGGCTAAAATGCAGCTAAAATGCTTCAGTGTCCTTCACTTTTTCATTATTACAATTATGTGGACCCATGTGCATTGTAGACTTTGCACAATTATGGCATTCAAGCACATTCACATTGTCTGCACAAAAATATTCCACACAAAAATGCACAATTATGTTCACACACACACACACAC